GGCTGAACATTCATTTATTTAAGGCCCAATTCGTGGTTATTATGATTAGGGCTTAGGGTGTTAGTTTCCTATTCTGATTAGAATTACTTTTCCCTATTTAAAGAGGCTTGTAACCCTAATTGAGGAGCCTATTGAATCTGAGATTTTGAGAGACTTTTCTCTTTGGTTCGTTTCAGAACTTTATAGAACTTATCAAGATTATTTTTGTGACGTTCTAACCTGACTTATCATTCTTGTTCTTAATCGTTTGAGGGTGTGGCGTCAACCTACTTTATACCTCTGGTTCTTGTTGCGTCATAGACAACGGGTCAAGGTTTTTACCTTTGGTTCTTGTTGCGACATAAACAATGAGTCAAGGTCCTATTATAAACCTGATTTAGCTTTCTTGGAGTTTAGAAATCCCTTGTTGTGCTGTGGGTCTCATTGTTCTCTTTGGGGTTCTCATCAGAATATTATAAATATAATAAGTATAATCACAAGTACATAAGACTATTTTGCCAACACCATCTAAAAATAAAAGGTTGTCTTGCCAACCCAATTGGTTTGTAAGGCATACTCTAACAATAAAATCTAAATAGTCTTTAAATCTATAACCAAATTTAAACTAGTTAGAAGACTAATCACACCTTTTTCGCATGTACCCCAACGTCATGCCTCTAATTAGTACTTGAAAATGTTGACTTGCAGGCGTGAGTGTAACCAATAGTTGAACCACGATTTGAGATAAGGGGGGCCAAATTTGTTTTGTTAGCTCAATGCACTCTAAAAGGGGAGTAAATTGAAGTTCTAAAATTTTCTTCCTTTTACAACCATAAAGTGAAAATTAAAGAGAAAAGAAAAAAGAGTTTGCACAAAGATTTTATAGAGATTCAATTCAATCACTTGGCACCTAATCCTCCCTACCTTGGCTTCATTCACTAAGGATTTCCTCTACACTCTCCACAAGAATAAAAAGAGTGCCTTAAATGAGCCACTCAATTCTTTTACAAGAAATGAGTTTTCTCATAAATCAAACCCTTGTACAAAACCAACTCAACAATCCTTACTACAAATCACTGTTGAAGAAAGTAAATACACTCACAAGATATCTCTCAAAGAATATGAGTAGAGGATTACAAGATAAGATCACTCAATGATCATGTGAAGAGGTCAAAGCACATGAATTTGAATGTTTCTCACATGAAAGCATAAGTTGATAGTTTAATGTGTTGAATGAAAGTGTCCAAGAGCTTTATGAATTTGTCCACTAACCTTATTTATCCTTTCTAAGTCGTAACTAGCTATTTAGAAACATTGGAGTACATTAAATGCACTGAAAAGTCATGGCATATTTTGTAGTCCATGCCATGGAGTCAATTATTGTCTTTTATAATCAACTTCATGGCATATTTTGTAATTTCTCATAACTTTTCAATTTAAAATTCTAACCTTTAATGGTAACTAAATTTGGCCTATAGTCGATTAAACCTTCTTAAAGTCAACTAGATGGCATTCTTGTAATTAATTCTAAACTCTATGCTTGAAGTGTATTTTACAATGTAGTCAAGTACAATCTCTTAAAGCCAACTTTGTAGTCTTTACAATTAACTTTATCTTCCTTTAGTCAACTATATAGCAGATCATGAGCATGTTTTGGACATTTTGTTTTTTGTTTTCTCCATCCAATTTCCTTCTTTTATTGACTTTAGCCATGTAGATTTGACTCTATCAATCTTATAGTCAACTTAGACCTTCTTCAGTTGACTATATGGCAAAGTTGTAAATAATTTGACTTTTATGAAATTAGGTCCTTCACTCTTTTTTATAGTTGACTTTTAACCTCCTAAAATCAACTCTTCATAAATTTTTTCTTTGATAATTGAGTCTAACTTCTTTGAATCAACTGTATACCTAATTATTCATTTTTTTTTTTTTATCTTTTCCAAGTTAGTTTTGACACTTAAATAAATTAAAATATCTTGCACACTTGCACAAAACATATTAAATATTCTAAAGCAGCTATATATTCAACCTCGGTTGTAGGTAGAGCAATACTATTTTTTATGGGAATCAAGACGACAGCATATCTACCACGTCATGTGATCCATTACACACCCAAGGAGGTCCAGTCACGCGAGCTAGTGCTAAGAAGATGCGTGAAGCTTTAAATGGCCTTATTGAG